AAGAACAAGAAATTGTTTTGTTGTAGAGACTTGATATTGGTGTTCAACTAGTGAAATTTACTCTCTCTCGTGAATATAAACCAAATTGGTTGAATCATGTAAATTTGTTGTGTTTTCTTCTCTCAATCTTTAACATTTTACTTTTATGTTTTTTGCATTTATATTTTTATGTTCTTAATGGATTTTCTTGTTTCTACATTTTTTTATTTGTTCTTGCATAAGGTCTATTGTTGTTTGTTTTCTTTCTTATTTTAAAACCAACAAGAGGCACAGTCTGTGGGGAAAAAAGGAAGAAAAAAGAAAGACTAAATCACAGGAATAACAAAGTATGATATCGAGAAGTTTTTAATTAAGGAACGATGACTTTGGGTTATGGAAGATAAAGATGGAAGCTGTCTTGGTACAATAGGGAGTTGTAGAAGCTTTGAAGGGTTAGGCAAAAATGTTTGAATCTTTATCACAGAAAGAGAAGAACGAGATGATTGATAAGGCAAGAAGTGTTGTCAGCTTGTGTCTAGGTGATAAGACCCTGAGGGAGGTTGCAAGACAAAAAACAATTGCTTCCATGTGGGTCAAACTAGAATCTTTATACATGACAAAGTCTTTGGCAAACCAGTTATGTCTGAAGCAACAAATTTTCTCTTTCAAGATGATAGAAGCAAGATTGGTTCAAGAACAACTTGGAGGTTTTAATAAGATTCTTGATGATTTGGAAAATATTGAGGTGAAACTTGAAGATTAGGATAAAGCTTTGCTCCTAATCAACTTTTTACCAAAATTCTTTGAACATTTCAAGGATATTCTATATGGAAAAGAACAAGCCATTTCCTTGGATGAAGTTCAAACCTTAATTTGAACTAAGGAACTTCAAAATAAGCAAAAATTGAAGACAAAGGATAATGGTGAATGAGAAGAAATGACCTAAGGGAAAGAAGTCTACATCAAAATGGAAGAGCAACACAAAGTTCAAGCTTAGATGTTATATTTGTCATAGAACTGGTCATTACAAGAGAGATTGTCCTAAGCAAGAAGGCAAGGAATCGAAGAGTTCCATGTCTTTGTTGTTTTAGATGGTTATGAGAGTGTAGGGGTGTTAATGGTATCAACATAAAAAATGCAAAGGAATTGGGTTATGGATTCTAGATGCACCTACCACATGTGTCTTGTGAATGATTTCCTTGAGACTTTAGAAGTTAAAGAAAGTGGAGTGGTGATTTGAGCATGGCTCAAATAGCACAAGATTTAGGAAAAAATGTAATTGAACTTGAGCCAAATGATGACAAAGTTTATATGCTTCTATGGAATATGTATTGTGTTGATAATATGTTGAAGGAGGCCTAAAAAATTAGGATGTTGATGAAGGAAATTAGGGTAAAAAAAGGCACGGGTGTAGCGTGGCTGATCTCACTACAACAAAATTTATTATTAACGATAATTATTTAATGATAATAATTTAATTATCTCTATTTAATTATATAATAAAAATATTAATGACTAATATATAATAGCTACTAAAAATGCATTTATATTATACTAAAGTTTACTATTAGCGACAATTATTTATTGAAAAAAACTTAAGTCTCACATCGATTAGAGATAAGATAATTAAAGAGTATATAAGTGAGTAATAACTATCACCTTACAAGATTATTTTGTAGGGTTGAGTTAGACTCCTAATCATAGTTTTAAAAACCGGACCGGTCATCGAACCGGTTAAGGTACTGGGTCAGTGGGTCAAAGGTTGAACTGGTGGGTCACTAGTTGAACCGCATGACTCGGTTTTTATTTATTTTTATTAAAAAAATATTCATATTAAATATATTTTATACTTATAAATTTTAATAAATTTATATCTTATTTTAAATTTCAATTTTTCTATCTTATTTAAAATTATTTTTATTTTTGTTTTGTAAAAAAATATATAAAAAATTACATGTTAAACTGTATATTAATACAAATTAAAAATATAAATAATATGTACATATATAATATGCTTGCAATTGATATCACAAAATAATATATGTAATAT